GTCCTCGCGGGCTTGATACCGCTGCGGTGGAGCGACAGCAACTATACTTTTGACATCAAGCTCTGGCTTCTCCTCCGCGACGAGCTCTCAACGATGCGATATGAGAAATCATTTTCTCGACCTCGCGTCGCGCAGCGAGCAGCAGCCGTCCAGCCAAAGCTGGCTCCCACCCCTCTAAACATCGGGCCTGCTCCGTTTAACTACTGGAGTGTGCTCTGGAGATTCTTGGGGCTCGGCTACGTTGTGTCGTCTATCTCTGGATCCATCTCGTACTTAAGTGTCTCTCAAGTCAATTTGGCGAATGATGTCTATTGGGCCACCTTCAACACCACGGGTGCCCACGCCTTCCTCGCCAACTGGCTCAACGAACAACTCGTCCTTGGTAATAGCACCATGCTTGATCTCTCGCTCGATCGACCGAGTATCAACGCCATGGCATCCTTTGCGTCATCGACTGCCCTCGTGGCGTCGCCTCAAAACTATGGCGCCTACCTCCAGCACACGCTACTGAGCTCGATCGAGGCGACGATTGAAGGACTGAGACGCTCGAATGGCTGTGACGCGCCCTGGATCTTTTCTCCGTACTGCTATCTCGACCTGAAGAGGTCGTGGACGATGGCCAACTCGGCCAAGCGCCAAGCGAGGTGCGACGCGAGCATGACGACCAACGGCGCCGTGTACTTGGAGACAGTTCTGCGCAACGTGGATTTCGGCAGCTTTCAGAACTGCTGGGGCACGGGCTTTGAGATTGGTATCGGTGCCGAGCTCAAGTTGTCGTCGGAAGGTCGCGCCTGGCTGGATATGGTTTCTGGTACAGCGCCTCAGTTGAGTCCGAGTGACGAAGCTGTTCACTGGCGGTCGTTTGGCCTCACAACGTACCAAACACAGTGGCAAAATTACAAGAAGCTCGGCGTTCGCAACAGCTACTCGATCATCAACGCGTTTGGCATTGAGTACCCGTTGACGCTGGCGTCCCAACCCGGCACATATCGCCGTGGCAGCCAGACGACGTTCAAAATGTACTGGTCGCTGGCCAACGATCTCTCGGCGGTCGCATCAAACTCGTCTGGTATGGGTGGTCGCAGTCTTTTACGGTCCAGCGCCACCTACGCTTTTACCAACACCTCGCTCGCGAATGTTTACGTGATCAACGCAACTCTGGCGTCGCCATTGTCCCCGGGCTTTCAGCTCATCAGTGCACTGCTGGGCCCGTTTGGCTCGATCGATATGGTGTATGTCCCACCACCCGTCGCCCTACAGCAGCTCGTGTCGTACCTGCTGGATGCGACGCGGACACCGCTCGCTGGCAACGTCGCCGCGCAAGCCGCGTACTTGAACATTACACCGCTCGACCTCTCTCGACCTGTGCCCCTTTCCTGGCTCTCGAGCCGTCTAGCAACCTTTGGAGGCTCGCCGCTGTGCCCGGAAGTGCCCTCTGGCGCCTTGCTTTCTCTCACGGGTCTCGGAAGCCTTCTTTCGTTCGATGGCATTTGCTTGCCGACGACAGGCACGGTCAAGATCCAAGCAACGCGGGCGCAGTACGTTCTTGGCGCGATTCTTGCGGGACTCGAACCCGCCGACAATTTCACCATGATTTGCGCGTCCGATCCCACGTTTACGCGTCAGTGCAGCGCCTACCTGCCCACGACCCTCTCGTTTATGGCCACTTATATGCAACTACCGCCTTGGCTCGTAGCTCAAGTCAGCACTGTCCACGACGCGGTCTACGACTGGAACATTTCGCTTTTGTTTTATGGTCGCAGTGGTGTCAACACATCCCTTGCGCTCTCACTGCACCGCATGAACGTACTCGAGGAGCCTTCGTTCCGCTTCTTTGCGTGGCTTTTCCTCTACGACTGGGTCGTCGGCGTCCGCGAAGTCGTCTCGTTCCAAGGCGATGCTGACCACCTCACACTCATCACAGACATGCAGTCGCCGCTGCTGCAAGCGACACAACCTTGGCAAGTCCCAAGCAACATTGCGCAGTATTTACGAGCGGGTGTTCTCTACGTTACGGGCGTCATGATTGCAATTGCTGGCCTCGCCTTCGTCTACATCATAGCTGGTCGCGGTCATTTCGAAGGCCTCAACATGCTCGAGCTCGGCCGTGTCGGCGGCATTGTCTGGGTCGGAAGGCCATTTTTACTTCTCCGGAGTGTCACGGCCATGGTGGTTCTCTCAACCGCGACCTTGCAGTTGCAGAATTCAGGTTCTTTAAGTCACTTTGCAACGGTCCACGATCCGTGGTACAAGACGCTACTGGCGGCCAATGAAGTCACGTGGCTGATTACGATTGTCAACGACATCTTATTGGTCGCCACGGGACCGTATGCAGCGCACTATGTCGTTCTCAACGGTGTGCTGGTGTGGATCGTCGCTGCGGTCGTATCGATTTGGGCGCCCGTGACGGCCACGCTCTCGGTGAACCTGACGTGCGAGGTCGAGGCGGTCGACTACCAAGTGCTCTGCACCGCGGGCACGATTGCCATTGGCCATCTTGGCCGCATGGCGCTCTTGATGGGACTGGTCCTCGTCGCCCATGGTATCTGCTACGTCGTCGTCAGAAGCTACCACCTTCGCGCGTCGGCGACGGGTGTCACGTCACTGTTTCTCACGTCGGGCGCCAAGTATTTGTTTACGCAATCGCCATGGATGCACAATAATGTCTATTACATGGACCGTGCGTCGGCGGCACTCGTTGGGCTCTTAACACTGCGACTCGGTGCCGAGATGGTCGTGTTCGACATCAAACTCTGGCGCGTGTTTCTCCTCCCGATGCCCCCCAAGACGAGCCTGCCGCAAGCGCTCGTCGTCGCGACACCACTCCGCGACGATGCGTTGCGATAAGAATAAGAAACCTCGCCGTGGTCGTACTCTTGTATTCTCGCTCCATCCAAGAGTTGAACCGAATTCTGCTTTGGTTCGCATCGATATTGCCGGAATCGTAGTTCAGTGTGTGCAACCCCAAGCATGATTTCCATAGCCCTTTTGCAGCGATGATTAGCCCTTTTGCAGCGAAACGAGCATGCCATGAATATCCAACGGCATGCTACGTTCTAGTCGTCGTACCATTCAAGTAGAGTTGACTTCAAAGCTCAGAGGTCGAATAGCACATGGACGAGACCACACTCGACGCGCAAAACACAAAACCAAATGTCAAAACGGACTCGCATGACGTGTCGCAAGTGTATTTGTCTTAAAAGTCGTTTTTCCATTGGCGAAACTGGAAGAAAAGGTCATGGTTCTCGTAGCTGCACATCTCCATGCGCGAGTCACCAAATTTTGGAATCAGCAAGCACCAGCCGATATGGCGCTTGCTGCGAATCATTGTGCCACGATTCCAGTCGTTAAAGTCCCACTCCCAGCGCTGGTTGACTTCGTCACGATTGCACTTGTAGCCGTGCACGAACGGCTTGTTGGCAGCGGGGTTCCACCACGCATCGAGGCACAAGTCGTCTTGGACGTTGCGCAGCATGTTGAATTCGGTCGCTCCGTTGGACTTGAGGACGTGCCAGACCTTGCCGCCCGCGTCGGTCGCGCGGCGCGTGTTGACGATCGTGTTCCAGATCGTCATATACGAGTCGAGGCGTTCGACAGGAACCCAATAGTGAGGCGAGCGTAGCACGCGCTGGACACCCCACTTGTCGGTGAGGTCCGGCCAGTTCAAGGCCGCATCTTCGACACGAAGGTTGCCCGTCTTGTTGGCGGGCACCGTAGTGGTGTTCATCGCGGTGGCGTTGACCAACGCCATGGCCAACACACTGCAGAGGCCGAGGACGCGCAGCAGCGACATGAGACGAGGTCGATGCAAATCGGAAAATGAGGCATATTCTGGCGAAATCCAATACAGCGCGACGGTGGCGATCGCACGTCCTTGCAATCGAGTGCTACGTATACGCTGCTTGACGATGGACACGGATCGCCTGTCGGCGGATTCAACCTCCAAGAACGGTGTAGACATGGTGCGCTACGGGCGCAAAAAGGCCGACGGCGCGTAGAAGCTGCTCTCGATAGACGCGATGCAACAGTGATGTGGACTGCAAAAACATATGTCGCATATCACACCATTGCCAGACCAGATGTGGGTATGCGTCAGACGACGAGCCAGCGTCTGAGAATAGCCGCGGTCGCGCAACGTACCTGCAACAAAGGACGACGAGAAAGGCGGGATGCGCCCTTATTTCTTGCCGACCCTTTCTATTACAGTATTCCTTGGAGACGTAGCCCTCCGTTGGTCTCTGCATGAAAGTGCGACTTGTTGTCTGACCCGAATGACGTCTGAAAGCGAGAGCAACCGTTCATTTCGTCAAGGCTCTTTTCTCTCATTCGGATGGGTGCTTGCTGCTCTCCATGTGGGACTTCGTGCATCCGTGTCTGAGAATTCTTAAAGTGTTGCTTCAGTTGCTGTTGCTTCCCCCTCTCCTAACCACAGGTTGCGACATGGGATCTTGTCGGGCTTTTCCAGGTGCCGTCGGGCGTGGGATTCGCTGCATTTGCGTTTCTAGAGTTGCTAGTCCTCTTAGACTGGTTGAGCTTTTGCAATGCATAAAAGGCATACGGTGGCATCGTGAAGGCATCAATATGCCGTCCACATCCTATTAAACATCAGCAGAACGCATCGCCGATTCTTCTCGATCCTCTCGCGGCCGCTCTTGCACGCAATACACTGTACAAGAAGTGGAGTGGTACAGTTCAACCCGCGGGTGTAGAGACACGAAGTTGTCGTTCCATCGCCCCTCTCGTATCCTTCCCGTCATTTCTACTTTGGCATCTTTGGCATGGCGCAGCTCGTCGTCCTGCGCTGGTGCCTCGTTATGGCGTTGGCTGTTGGCTATGCCGCCGCGATGAACAGCACAGTGCCTGCCAACAAGACGGGCAACCTTCGCGTGGAAGACAGCATGTTGCCAGGCACCGACATCAGCAACAAGTGGGGCATTCAGCGAGCCGTGCGCACACCGTACTGGTGGCGGCCCATCGACTGCCTCGACTCGTGGATGACGATCTGGAACACGATCGTCAACACGCGCCGCGCGACCGACGCGGGCGGCAAGGTCTGGCACGCTCACAAGTCGAACGGGTCGCCGCAGTTTGATATGCTGCGCAACGTCCAAGACGACTTGTGTCTGGATGCGTGGTGGAACGACTATGCGCGCAAGCCGTTCGTGCACGGCTACAAGTGCAGCTACGACGAGCCCAACCAGCGCTGGAGCTTTGAGCTCCCGACACCCGGTGGCGCTGACGGCAGCAAGATTTGCAGCAAGCGCCATCCCGGCTGGTGCTTGGCCATCAGCGCATTCGGCGACTCGTACATGGAGCCATCGTGGAGCACGGACGACAATCTTATGTTTGGTTTTCGTCCGTGGTTGGAAGAATTCTAACGCAGTTATTGAATGCAACGTTTTTTGACGCGCCGACTCAATTCTCAAAGAAATAGGCCCATTTTGAGCTCCACCTTTTCAGAGTAGCAAGCAGAAAAACATCTTGGCAGGCGGTTTATTACCGGGATTACCACTACCAAGTATATTTATGGCCTTGCCACTACGTATGAGTTTTTGTATGTGGTCCATCGTCAAGCTACTTGATCGACCAGAAGCGTCCGCGGTCGTGAGCCAGACCCGTGTTGCGTAGCTCCACTTCGCAAGCAGAAAAACATCTTTTGAGTTCGTATGATGCCTTTAGCAGCCTAGGGAGTACAATACGGTATAGCACAATAATCAATCTACGAGATCGATAGATTAATCAATTGATGGGCACGAGTATCAAGTTGATACATGTGAGTCCACCCATGGATTGATGCAAAACCACGGTTACCATGCTCGCCTCGGAGATCGATCGGTCGCTGGACAGATAGATAGATGGATAGATAAATGGATAAGACAGGAGATAGAATGTGTACATCATTCAGTTCTTAGTATCTGGCTGAACAGCGAGCAATCAATTCCCCTCGCCAACGCTACACAGTTCCAATCTAAAACAACACAACTCGAACCAGCCGATGGCTTAGGCACACACGAGGCCATCGGCGACAACCAGCGACTGGATCTGGCGCCGGACGCGGGCCATTGCATCGTCTTTCGAGGCGTCTTTGGACGGCGCGTTGGTCCTACACCACACCAGAGTCTCATCTCATATCAATGCATCACGCGCGTACGCTTGTTGCCACTGCTGGTAGCACACGGAGACTTCGTACCGCGCCTCTATCCATAATATCTATCAGCACAATGTGGACAAGTTGTCCATGAACCCTTGCAGTGGGCGACGACGGTCTGGTACTTGATCGAGTGCCGGAGCGACGTGAGCTCCTTCATGCGCGCGTGCAGATCCTGGCCAATGGCGGCAAACATCTCGCTGTCGACCGCTTTCTCGGGCGTGAATCCGAGCTTGAGCGGCGTCGCAACGACCGCAAACAAGTCCTACACGCGTTGTGAAGAACGCAGCGTTGCATGGAGGGAGTCGACCTCGCGGCAAGCGGCTTCAAACACCTGCAGCTGCGCTAGGAACGTCTCGATCGATGTAGAGACCAGCGCGCAAAACTCGCCCGGCGCCTCCTCAAAGCGCAGGATGGCCTCGCGACTTGAGAGAATGGCCCCGAGGTCGGCATCGCTGAAGCGACCCGCGTCGTTGAGCACCGACGCGTTCCTAGTTGAGTGTGTTTAGACAACCGGTTCATGACGTGGCAGCGTACGCGACGCGCAGCGTCCTGGCGATTTCCGCGTGCGGCGCCAGGAGGGCATTCAAGCTCTCGGTGAAGGACCGAATCTCAAACTGAATCTGCTTTTCGAGTTTGAGCGGCGTCGCTACACGAGATGCTTCAACTACGAGCACAATATATGGAGTTGAGATGAGTAGACCTTGGAGCGCAGTCTTGTACTTGGCCAAGCTGCGCTGGTACCATTGCTTGAGCTCCGACTTGTGCTTCTTGGCGTTCGCTGGCAAGTGCGTTGTCGCCATGCTCTCGCGCAGCAAGACCACGAGGTCGTTGCGCTTGCGCGTGAGGATGCGCAGAACGCTCGCTTGGGTCTCCATGTCCTGGCGCAGCGTCGGCACATGCGCCGATAGCTTGAGGTACAGCGCCGCGAGCTTGTCGATGCGCATCGCAAAGTGCTCTACGGCGCCATGAGAGCCATGCAGATGCATGCATTGTACTACCTTGGAACTCCTTGTCGTAGACGCGCAGAGCGTTCCACGGCTGTGGCCGCGGGTCCAGCGCCTTGATCTCCGTTTCGAGAAGCTTGCTGTAGCTCAGGACGTCGTCGTAGCCGAGGAAGAGTGGCGTCGCCTGCGTGAGGAGCGCGATCTTGTCGCGCGCCGTGCGCAGGAACGGGCAGAGCTGCGCGAGCTTCTTGGCCGCGAGCGGCTCGAGTACGTCGAGCTCGCCGGTTGCGACGCGGAAGAGGTTGAGCAGCGAGCAGAGGTCGTCGATGATGTCGACGAGCGCGAAGCGGTACTTCTCGACGAGCCGGCGCTCGTAGCGCCCGAGGAGCTCGGTCTCGGACTCGGCGTGGTCGGGCTTGGCCATTTTTTCGAAATTGCACTTTGAGTCCAAGTTCAACGAGTTTTTCGAATTGCGTTTTATGGGTTGAACGTGTGGAAAACGTGTGAAAAACATTTGACACCTGGTAAACCACTCCATATTCACCTTTTTAACACGGGAGCGTGCGTGGATTGGATAAAACGTTGTGGTTTAACCTGCACAGAGCCGAGGTGAAACGAGTTTCGACGGCGCGATCTCGGATAACAACATCACGAAGGCGGCTACCTGGATCGCCACAGACAATTTCCCACGTTACGTGACCGCTCTTGTCCGCTGCTGCCAGCTCATTTCGCCTGCTAATCATGCCGTGCGCCCAACCAGTGCCCCGCCATGGCTCGTCAAGCTCGGACCCCGCGTCGTTCTAACGGCGACTATGAACGGCCGACTGACCGACTACCGAGAGCGACCGAAATTTTACTGGCTTGCAGTGACACACCTTGGCATCCCAGAGACTTTCTACGAGCAACCGGGCCGAGCAGCCTCATTTGTACCTCTACGGCAGCCAGCCTACATCCTTTCGCGATACGGTGACTTTGTGTACCGGGTAGAGCTGAAAGCCGTGGCCGTCCGCGCCAGCTTGCACTTTCTCGGCCACGATGCTCGACACTGCCTTCTCTGCGATGCGCCAGCCCGTGAAACGTACGACCATCTTTTGGTGCGCTGCCCATACGTCCGCGCGATCTGGTGCGCTTTTGCACCACCGATGCGGGGCATTTTGCAGATGCGACTCCTGTCGTCGGTCGCTAGCTTTCTCTACGACGACGTCGCCGCGCCGTACTCGGTCCACACGTCGACCATGCATGCCCTCTGGTCGATCTTACGCGCTTGCGTCTGGTATTGTCGTTGGCTCGATCGCAACAACCGTGTCTTCCGCTCGACGCTGACGCAACTTCCCGCTGCTGCGCTCGCGATCCAGGCAGCTACTATCGCACGACTGCATGTCCGGCACTTGGCTCGTCACGCTGTGGTGCCATCGCTTGACGCACCGACCACGCCTCACGAGCGCATTAGGAAGTCCACCACATCTTGTAATTGCATGTAATTTCAACAACGACTCGCCAAGTGAAACGGGGCAATTGAAATGATTGACTGAAAAATCAAAATTGTTTGAGGTGGCGACGACACGTCTTCCCATCTGGTCTGGTTTGCGTACCGTCACGTGTGGATGCTGCGGACCGATGCTGTGGACCGTTTCTTTCCCGCACGTCGCTGCCGTCGCGGCTTTTCAACTTCAAACAACCGTGTCGGCGAGTGAAGCGCTCCATCGCACTTCGTTAGTTAGAAGGGCGGATCTGCCGTAGCGATCCAACCACGCAACCATCAAAGCGTCTCGAATCGAGACGCTTTGATGGTTGGATGGCTCTAATCATATTCCAGTTTCTTGTATCGATACAAGAAACTGGAATATGATTACAAGTGCGCATATTGATGAGATGCCAGACAATTGGCGTCGGTCAAGACATACTAGTACCGGTACCTCACTGGTGAGCGCTTCGACGCATGGTGGACGAGTCCAGCTTCCTGTTCCTGTCTAAAACCGTCGTAGAAAAAAGACATTGGTCGCGGTGGCTTTATCCCAAAGATACAGCGTGTCGTCGTCCGCGCCGTCGACTGTCATGGCGTGTCACGTGTTGGAACGCCGTAGCATCACGCAGCGACGGGGACATCGGACGACGCGCATCTTGTCCTGCCAGTGTCAACGCCGCTTAACGAGATAGTACCACCAAGGAAACTACCCGGATAGGAAAATGACAAAAAGGGAGTGTTGGGAAAAGCTGCGTCAAAACGGGAATTTGGAAAAACAATAACCATTCACTTAAATTCCCACCAGGGTAATTGGGGTTGTTTGACAAAGTCGTCGCAGCGGACGGGAGGTGGGGTCATGTGAGGTGTTCAGGAAGGTTAAGTTCAGACGGGTGCATTTGACGTTTAACCCTAACTAAATGAGCCGTTTCATCGCGCTTCTTCCTTGTGTTCTTTGTGGCACATGCCGAGCGTTGCCTTATTATGGTGACCTTCTTCAGTGACATTCGTGTCCGGATGGGGGGTATCCGGATAGAAAGAATCGGCGCGTCGGGATCGAACCGGCGACCTCTGGAGGTGGAAGCAGGAATCATAAGTTCAGGAAGGTTAAAGAATTGTTGTACAGGTCTTGTTTGCGGGTAAGGAGGCGTAGGAGGAGAGGGGTACGTGAAGTGCCATTGCATAGCAAAACCAAGTTGATGTTAGTGATGCTCCGCGCGGTCAAGTTCCGCGCACATTTGCACTGGCTCGATAGGGCCGACCAAGCGTGCCTCTTCTGCCCCGCGCACGAGACGTACCGCCACTTCCTCGTAGACTGTGACTTCATCAAGGACGTGTGGAGCACGCTTCACGCCGTCACGGTCCCTTTGGGCGTGACCTTGCCGACTACGCTCTCCGGCTACCTCTACTCGACGCCCAAGACGGCGTCCAGCATGCACCAAGCCGCGTTCCGCTACCTCTGGCCCGTGCTCCG